ATGATAACTAGGGCACAGAACTTATCAAGCTTTAACAGGCAGTTCTGCTATCGCGCGGCGTTCTTTAAGCTATATGAATGAGGAAGTTCGTTGGACAACAGCAATGAAGTTATAATCAGAATCAAAAATTTAAAACGAAAGTACGCGTCATTCTCTGAACAACAAACGAAGCCTTTCCATTGGGCCTTCTATTTTCTAAACAAAGGCAGCTCATTAATAAAAACAACAGATGACTGCAAAAATGCCTATAATATCAGAATATGGGAAGAATATGGCACCGTTTTCTGAGCTTGATTGGGCAAGCTTCAGAAAATTTTTGCATCAAAATATCACTTAAAATCACATGCTGTCGTTATCGCCCTGAAAGCAGCATTAACTTGGCTGCTGTTGCGTAATTCACAGCTGCATGCTTAATAAGTGTTATAATATTCAAGCATGACTAGCAAATGGACCATTAAACATCAAGGTGCAGAAAGGTTTAAATGCTGTGTTAATGTTATGTTTAAATACCCGATTTTCTGCAGTTTAGATATAATAAATGCCTTAAATTATAATAACATAACCAGATAAACTTATTATCATTAATGTCAAAATATAAAAGTTAAAACGTTATGATCAAATCGCATTAAAACAGTTGTCAACACTAGCAACTTAAAAAGCCAACGCAAAGAACTATATTGGTAGAGGGTCTACAAGATATGCTTCGATTTTTTGAGGTGCAACACTCGATTCCGCTCGAGGGCAATCTCTTATTCGCAAATTTCCTTGGGCAAAAAATTTACGACACATTGCTTCAGACCGGTGTTGCACAGATATAGCGCCGAACTGAAAACCGATCCCGAGTTAAAGTCCCGATCGGGGTCATTCATCCTTCTTCCGTCTGAGACTGATAAATAAATACCATTCTGTGGGAAGGAAAGAGGAGACTACACGCTACGCTTGGCACGTTGGTGTAGACTCTGTCTTTTAAAAAACAACAGGGCACTTCTCGATGATGACACAAAAACGGAGATCAGCATCGCACATCTACTTCTTGAAAAGAAGGGCGCCAAAAGTGAAGGATGACCGACATTCATATTACTGACAGTGACAAGTTTCCTGTCCTTTTATAATTACCTGCTTGGGCAAAGCTGTGGATTTTAGGGACAGATCTGGAGTACAAGCAACTGAAGAAAAATCATCGATAGTCGACGAAGATGTCATGGCGGTTGTTGAAGCTTCAGACCAGGTCGACATCGCTCCAAGTTGGGCCTTCGGTGGTTCTCGACTATTTTCCCCTAAAAAGTAAACAATAAAGGACAGCACTCAAAGCCAAACGTAATGATTAAACCTTCATCGGCGACTATATGAGTCTGACAGTGTCTGAACAGCCTGTGCATACGACCTAAAGCAAATAATCTTCAAACAAATCATCGAAGCTATATTTAAATAAGTGCATGTCGAAAATATTCATAAAATGCAAGCAAAGCAACACAGCTTAAAACTATAAAGCAATCTGTAAGTGGCAGAAGATGAGTTAACCGGATGATTTGAAGATCAATTTTCTCCGAAAGAAATAGCTATTATTCAATCTACCTAAAATAACCAACATTTGTCCTATTCATTAAGATCCAATGATCTAAAGCGGCAGCTGGCTTTGACGGCGTCAAAATGCTCAAGGCAAGTGCCGTTTGAGAATATTTTCAACCGCTTGTTTCGCCTTTCAAAAGCAATATGCCATAATGATGTATTCTAACCACAGGAAAAGTCACAAAATTGTTCAGAACCGAATATCAACCAGCCGTCAAACCCCTGGAACTTCCATCATATTGCTTATCTTCTTGAACTAAATCGTGCTGAGGCTCTCGGTCCATAACAATTCGAGTGAAACAAAAAGCTTAGCTAGCAATGACCGTTAATCGAGATTAATGACGGCGTTGTTGACAAGCTTGATTGGGTAAGTTTCTACATTAGCCGTTATTTACTTGACTGGGCGTTCAACTGTATAACTCTAGTTGACCTGATAGAAATGTTAGCCTCCTTTGAGTTGGCAAACACAAATTAACCTTCGCTGTTGCAAAACAGGGCTTCATCAAGGCTCTTTATTCGTTCCCGTTCTGGTTTTTCCATGGGCAGCCTCTGGCGTTAGAGGGGCTTTCGCATCGAGAATGGTCATACTATTGCCTGTCCATGTAATTCAGTGACGACTTTAAAACATATCAAAAAGCTGTCACTACACTATAATGTGTGGAACAGGTAAAGGTCCCAAATGGTTGGTTACAAATGTGGGAAAGGTAATGTTTAGGTCATGTTTTAACTCCTGTTACGTCGCAAACCACAGTAACAGAAGGTACAACTGAAAAAATTGCTAATCGATACTTGTTTCTCTATCTCACTTTCTGCAACAGCTCCTCGTAAGGCCGTGCTATGTGTAGGCGATATTTCATGTTCAGATTTGGTCAGTTTCACCAGTGTGTCAACCTGTACAAAGGTTTTTCATGCGTGCATTCTTCCACTCAATAAGTGCCGCAGAATGAGATGCCGCGGAATAAGTGTTTCTAAGATGCAAGAAGAGCAGTGTGACTTCAGATAAAACCGAAGCACCCGTGACAGATTGTTCAAAAATCGTTGAATTCCCTCATTTAGTTTACCGGTACTTCGCTGACCTGGAGAAGGCATATGACCGAATACTACGCAACAATCTTTGAGCATGCCTGCTGATATATGGGATCGATGGACAGTTATTACGGGCCATCAAATCACTATTTGCTGACAGCATCTTAAATCGAAAACTTTCGGCATATGCACTAGTCTCCTCTAAGGCTGCGTTCTGTCGCCTCTTCTGTTCGCGTTGTACATAGTCAGTTAGGAATAAATAGTCAGGCGCAGCCAGGACGACGGGGGTTTCCGCGCAGGAGATGTAGGGAAGAGAAAGCCACTGTCTACAGACGACCCTGTTTTACTGGTCTCTTCTAAAACGCATCTACAACACTATCTATAACGTTTCCAGTCCGGCATGCATCGTAACGTGTCTACAATGAGAAACCTTGTATTTTCTCGTTCTCTTACTTGTTGCACTCTTCAGATAAACTCTGAGGGAACGGAGCATGTGCAGAAGTTCATGTATCTCAGGACCGTGTTTAATAGTGATAAAAAATGGGAGGAAAATATCAACTAGCGAACTGGAATGGTCAGCGGTGTCCTGCGAGAACTATCCCGAATCGTTGTGACTAAAGCAGAGGTGAATCTGAAAAATAATCCTAATCCCGATGTTTATACCTATGGTAATGAGACGTGAGCCACT